ACCGGTGTCAGAAAACCATTGATGCACAACAACAGAGGCCGCACCATCCACGGAGTACGCTATATTAGCTCTCGGCCCCGGAGCACCGTCATAGCGGCGAAAACAGGTGGCAGCCGAATGCCCCTGGCTGGAGCAAATCTGACACTGAATAGCGCCGGCACCACCACGACCGCGACCACGACCGCTGTTGACCGCCCGAGCGTCCGCCATCACGCTGTGCCGCCATAGCCACCAGAGCAATAGCAACATCTCCAACCTCGTCCGCAAAGATGAAAGCCTGAGAGACAAGAAAGTCAGATAATTCAGTCAAAGAGACCGAAGGACCCCGCGTCAGAGACGCCACCAGAGGGCGGTATTCCGATCGAAAGCCACGGAAGATGTACATATTCTGATCCTCCAGCCCTCACCGGATGGCTAGCGAGCGCCAAATCCTCGATGAGAACCTGCGCACGACCAAGATAGTCAGGGATCGAAGCATCTCCCTGTCGTAACCCCTGCAATTCACCCACCAAACGAAGTGCACGTGCCCGAGTCGTCGACCCAAGCGTCTGTTCGATGGCTAACCATAGATGCCGGTCGTCGACCCAAGCGTCTGTTCGATGGCTAACCATAGATGCCGAGACGTTGATTTGCCGATGGCGAGATGCATCATCTCATCAGACAACGATGAGATGAGAAGAGACAACACGGCCTTGTCTTGCCGTAACCAAGCCGCCCTAGCAGCGGAAGAAGAAGCCGGCGGAACAGCAGCAACAACACCCTCGGCCGAGGGCACCGCGAGCGCCGTGAGCGGTGGACAGGGAGTCGAGCCATCAACAAACCCTAGCAATCCTTGTCCATCAAGAAAGTGAAGCAGTTGGGTACGCCAAAACAGAAAGTTGCGAGAGGACAACTTAATGGAGACAAAATGGTGTGCCGAGGAGAAAGACACCCCCGACAATGGCGCAGCAAGAGAAGCCTTGGAAACGGTCCGCTCGGAACTGCCGACAGAGCCGTCATCACCGCCGAGTTGCGCCATAGGAAGAAGAGTATGAATAAAAACTACTGATACCAGATGAGGATTCGATATATCTGAATAATGAATAATGTGTCCAGTACAGAGTATATCTAGCTGAGTATACAAGACCTAACACAAGACGAATACTAATAATAATAGACTAATAGTGATAGACTAATAGTAATGAAAATAGACTCCTAATAGGTTTAAGTGTGATCCTTTGTGAAGTAAGCATTTTACAGTTGTGCAAATCTGAGATCCATCAATTGGTATCATAGCCGAGGTCACATGTTCGAATCTATAGGAGATCCATCATTGTTCATTGTATTATGTTTAATATAAATAGAAATTAATACTCTAGTATAAAAAAAACTAGTACAAACTATGATTATAATAATTCAACATTAAAACATCATTTATCCATCAAATTAGAGTACATATAAATTAAAATTTATATGATTTTACCTATTTATATATTAAAACTAGTTTTTTACGCGTACGGCGCGATTGAGATAATGCCCAATGTTTTTTTTTAAATAAGTACTATAAAGTATATCAAGGTAAGATTATATTGGAATTGTTCATGCATAGATTATTGAATGCTGATTTTGCGTATTTAAATAAGTAATTCTAAGTTTACAAATGCAAGATAATATAGTCAAGATTGATTATAATTATCAATAAAATAATTGTATAGGTATGGTTACGTTGAAATCAAATACGGGACATAAGGGGGAGCAAATAAAAATTAGGGCATAAAATATTAAATATATATTAATATTGAACAGTTAACTGTTGATTGCCAAACAGGGACATTACGAGGTAATTTCTCACTTCAATTTGTTGTGTGATTTGAATACTCTTTTTGTCAATAAATCCCTCAAGTAGTTAATATGATTGGCTGAATTATATTTTTTTAAACGATTATTATTATTATTATTATTATTATTATTATTATTATTATTATTATTATTATTATTATTATTATTATTATTATTATTATTATTATTATTATTATTATTATTATTATTATTATTATTATTATGTATACCCTTAGATCATTTTACATGTTAATCTAAACAGCTAATTTTTTCAAATATCTTTTTACCAACCGTTGATATAATCGCTGGTCAAATCCGCTAATGCTAACTGCTGATTGTCAAACAAGGACATTGTGAGGTAGTTCTCACTTCAATTTGTTGTGTGATTTGAATACTCTCTATGTCAATAAATCGCTCAAGTAGTTAATATGATTGACTTTATTAATTATATTTTTTTAAATTTTTTCATGGTATTAATAAAATACTTGGTAAATAAATATATAGCATTATTTTTTATTATAACTTTGACATTTAATTTAATTAAAAAATAGTGCACACAAAAGATAATAGACAATGTAGTGAATATAATCAATTGATGAATTTAAATGTAAAGAATTTTTACATTGAAAAAAAAATAAAGACAATATAACTAATAAAATTATTTATCTTAATTAATTTATTGATAATGAATAATTTATTTATTTTTTAATAAAGACATTGTAGGGACAATGTAGCGAATATAATCAATTGATGAATTTGAATGTAACGAATTTTTATATTGGAGTAAAATAAAGACCATATAACTAATGGAATTATTTCTCTTATTTAATTTATTGATAATGAATAATTTTTTTTGAATAAAGACATTGTAGACACATCATTCTAAATTAAAGAAATGCATATGTATTTTTTTTTTGTTGTTGTAGCTACTAAATTATTATTTAATGAACAAATTGGTCCTGTGACTATTAGGGTACTGATAATTTGAGTACGTGACTTTCAAAACTCTCAATTTAAACCTTTAACTACGCAATTATTAGCAGATTTGGTCCTGTCGGCCAAATTGCCGGCCAATTTTGGCCGGAAAAATGTAATTCTTTTAAAATTATTTATTTATAAGGGCAAAATGGTCATTTAACGTCATTTCTTCTTCTTCCTGGCGACCGGAAAACATCTCCAACTCCCTCGTCGTTCCGTGGTGGAAATTAAACATCTCCGACAAAATCCCCGACGTTTCATTACTTCCGGCAAGCCCCACCGGATGCTCATCTTCTTCTTCAAGCTGTTGCTGCGGTGGCGGCGGCACCTTATCCCGCCGGATCTGCTGCACGATGTGATGATGCTGCAGAGTTTCCGCCGGCGATCTCTCGAACCCGTTCGAGAAACTGAACAATCCAGGATGATGATGATAATCTTGGGACATAGATAGATAGATATATACCTTAACCCAACAAATCCAAACAACCTAAGCCTTTCCTAGTAAGCAAGAGTTGTTGAACTCCACTGTACCACATCCATGGCTGCGCTGTAATTATCTCAAAAATCAACAATAAAATAATCAATATTTTCTTTCCGGCTAACATAGATACAAGAGAAAGCATCAAACAAAAGACTGTCAAATTCGGAAAAAAAAAAAAAAAAGATTTAAGAATTTATTTTCTTTATCTTTTTTCTTTTTCAACATAACACACCACACAAGATTACCTCTTAATTGAGAGTTTCATGCTGTAAAAGGGTCTCAGACATCGCTTTCTCCTCTCCTCAAGATTTTTTTTTTTTTTTCCTTTCTCTTTCTGAGCCTGTCCTCTCTCTGTGTGTCTCTCTCCTTTTCTCACCCTTTTGTTGCTACTTGCAGTGAGTGCTAGCTTTCTCTGCAATCGCCTTCTGGGAAAGTGAAATCATCCAAACTAACAACAAAGGAGTGGGTATCTCGTTCTAGTTGGTGGGTTTTCCGGTGGGTTGTTTGGGTTATACTTTTCCGGTGGATGCCTGATGAATCCGCTTTTCCGGTCGCCATGAAGAAGAAGAAATGACGTTAAATGACCATTTTGCCCTTATAAATAAATAATTTTAAAAGAATTACATTTTTCCGGCCAAAATTGGCCGGCATGACCAAATCTGCTAATAATTGCGTAGTTAAAGGTTTAAATTGAGAGTTTTGAAAGTCACGTACTCAAATTATCAGTACCCTAATAGTCATAGGACCAAAAGTGCAATTTGTTCTTATTTATTTATAATTTAATAAGAGTAAAATAGAGTACTAATTATGTCAACTTTGATTGGGATGGGGTTCGAACCTAAGACCTTTCTTATTGAAATCAATGAGTAAGTTAACGGTGAACTAACAAAAATTAACGAAAAAGTTAATGGATAATCATATTCATTAAGGATAAATTAAGAAATCTTAAGGAAAAATTAAAATCTGATCAATATAAGCTATGCATTTGATTAAAAAATTTGATCGCCATTTTTTCTACCCATTATAGACCTAACTCTCTTGGTCTCTTATTAGTATAGTAGAATAGTAGATATACTATGTGATGCGATATAAGCATTGTATTGTTTGTAATAATTGTTCTTTTTAATACTATATAAGCTAGCTCAAGCAAATTATGTTGTGGAACCGTGTCCATCTTGCAAGGTGGACACGGTTCCAAAACGACGTCGTTTTGGTGGAAAACGACGCCATGTCAATTTAAAAAAAAATTGCTTTCTTTCACCGTTAACGGCGTTTGTCCTCAGGAAGTCTATGTGTCATAATTTCTGAACTCTATGTTCATAATTATTGAATTCCATATTCACAATTATTAAACTCTATATTCACAATTACAGAACTCTATGTTCATAATTTTTGAACTCTATATTCATAATTCTTGAACTCTATATTCGCAACTACAAAACTCTATATTCGCAACGACACCGTTACTCCCGAAATGTAGAACGACGTCGTATTAAACCCGTGTCTACTTTGACATAACAACTCGCTAGCTTGTGGGCTGGCCAGCGAGGCCCGCCAACCCGTATGGAACGGGCTACGGCCAAAGAAACTTGCAAGTGAGACTGGCCCGCATTGACCCCCTAATCTTGGTATAAAGTTTGTAAGTATAAACCTCGGGGGATCAAACTGCAATTAAACTCATTCAGAAAATTTTTTATTTATTAATTTCTGTCCCTAGGGTTTATGTATATATTGGCTTGTTAAATCCGATTCGCCTCAGAACCCCAACCTTCGTTCACAGTTCAGGCATACAGTTCAGCGGAGAGCGAGAGAGGGGAGAGAAAGCCATAATCATGGTGAGTGTGCTCGATTTGATCTGTTTCTACTTGAACTCTGTCGTGTTTAACTCATTCGATTTGAATACTAATTGGCGGATTGTCTATTGTTGCAGAGTCTGGTCGCGAACGAGGATTTCCAGCACATTTTGCGTATCCTGAACACCAATGTCGATGGGAAGCAGAAGATTATGTTTGCTATGACTTCCATCAAAGGTATTGGTCGCCGCTTCGCCAATATCTGCTGCAAAAAAGCCGATATCGACATGAACAAAAGGTCTCATATGTTCCTTTGCTGACCGATTTTTCTGTGTTTGTTCTTTTATCTTTATCGAATTCATTTTTTATGTATGCCAAGTATATTATATTTCTATGCTTTAAGTCATTGAAAGCAGAAAAATTATAGCTTTACTTCAAATATTTGAAGCCCAGTTAAATAATTAACGCCGAAGATGCTGAACTTTTGTAGATCCTGAATAGCTTCGAATTGATCTGAGTAGAGTTCTATTGTAATGCATAATTGCATATGTATTGTTGCCTTTTCTGTTTGTGGCATTATGTTTAAATAAATATATGAAACATTACATTGTTCTCAAAAAGGGGTGTAAGATGGACTTTTACAGTACTGATGCTCTTGAGCTATTTTGTTAGGATGTGGATATAACAGTAAAGCCAACATTTTTAAATAGTTTTAAATTTAACATTGAACGGCCTAATTAGCTATTTTTATAGGTTAGTGTTGCATATGACATGCATACATAGTCTCAGAGTTAGTACAAATGATTAGGAAGTCAATGGGTTGACCAAGATGCTAGGTGCTCTTAATTATGCCAATTATGTTTGTACTTCATGTTTTGGAATTTAGATTGCGCTGATTCTTGAATGCTGCTTGGCTTGTCACAGGGCTGGGGAACTTACTGCTGCTGAAATTGATAACTTGATGACCGTTGTTGCAAACCCTCGCCAGTTCAAGGTCCCTGACTGGTTTTTGAACAGGCAGAAGGACTATAAGGATGGTAACTATTCACAGGTTGTCTCCAATGCATTGGATATGAAGCTTAGGGATGACCTTGAACGCCTGAAGAAAATCAGGTATGATGGTTTCTCACTGGACTTGAGATGTTAGTGAATGTTGTATTTAATACTGATATGTTGTTAGCTGAGGAGTTGAATTTTAATTGTTTATGGCTTTTGTGATTTCTGTTTTGCATGACTATTTTGGTTATGTTGAGTAGCTGGTATGTTTTGTGATACTGGCATACTGCTGCTCCATAACTGATTCCTGCTGAAATAATGGTAATGCAAATATGGATTCTGGTGTGTAGTTGAGACCAATTCCCAAGTTTTCATCCTCTGTATTTTAACCTAGATGTTTGCTGTTTCACCATTCTTATTGCATTTGAAATGAAATTAGCAAAGTTGGAAACTGCAGTGTCTATTCAATGAATTGTAATTCATACCTCCCTCTAAATGAATTGCAATTCAGTGTGGAAAGGAAAGGAAAAAAAGAAAAAAAAGAAATTTTTGCCCTTTATTATTATTACACAATGACATTTTATTTTTTTTATCACTTCTTCCCTTCCCATTCCTAATAATTCAATTCCTCCCTTCCAAACAATGTGATTTGAATTTCTACTTTATTCTAACCTTAGTCTTTTCCCACTGAATTGCTATTCTTTCCCACCCCCCACCCCCCACCCCCCAATTCTCTCCCCCAACCAAATGCCCTGTTAATGTTATATGATGTTTTGGTTTGAACTTTGTTATGCCAAGTTTTAGTTCTTTTTGCAGTACATTTTTTACCCATCCAAACAATTAGAACAGTACGAAGATGTACCTCTATATTTTTTCTAAATATGGCTGGTTGTTGACCCCTTTTAAAACAACTGTTTATCTTTTTGAATGCCAGAAACCACCGTGGTCTCCGACACTACTGGGGGCTCCGTGTACGTGGACAGCACACCAAGACAACTGGGCGTAGGGGAAAGACTGTTGGTGTCTCGAAGAAGCGTTGATTTTGGTTGCATTCGAATCATGGATGGTTTTGTTTTAGAATATATTTATATCTTTTATTTGTGATATTAGTATTTAGTACTAGTACTTTTTAAAGCTAAAAGCATGAGCTTCCATGTTTTTGTCAAGCAGGCATGATTTCACATTCCTCTTTATTACATTACTGGATAAGTTTTGAGATCTGTTTGTTTCGTTTTATGAAATGTCTTTTGAAGATGCCTAAAATTTGAGATGCCTTGTGTGCTACCATACTAAGAGGTGCTCAGATAACATGTTTGAGAATGAGATGTCTTTGCATACCCTTAGTTATGTAGTGTTGGTGTATACTATGAGGATAAGATCTATTTCAAATTTTATATGACTTTGAATTGTTGATTATTTGTAAACAAATATCAATTATTATACGTAATTTGGAACTGAATTCATTAAAAATTCATGTAAATTTGTAGTTATTTCAAATTTTATTATGTTGACTTTGGTTGTTGATAGTTAGTTTGACTCCCACTAGGAGTAGTCTAGTGTCAAATTACACACTAAGCTGGAGTTTGGTTAGGGACTATTGTAGTATTGTATCCTATTATATCTTATGAGATTTTTGATTTTTGATAATAATCATCAACATGTTTGTTTTTCTATTTTTATGTCTTAAAATTAGATTTAAATTATTTGATAATTATAAAATCGAGAGAATTACACTTTTGATCCTATAATTATAGAGGTCTTAGTACTTACTTTAAAAATTGACAATTTAGTCCTGTAACTATGCAATTTTTGACACATTTTATCTTCCGGAAAAACGTAATTTATTTTAAATTATTTATAACTGGGGGCAAAATGGTAATTTTATATCATTTCTTCTTCTTCCTTGCTGCGCCTGCAATGAATTGGCATAACCCAAGGAAAGAAACATGGGAATGAATGCAGTGCTTTATATTAACCATTAAGCTTAAATTTAAAATGCAGTGCTTCATAGTTTTAGTTATGCCAGGGGAAGAAATGCACAAATCTAAATCTATGTCAATGAATTGGATAAAATGAAACCCAGGCCACCGGTGATAACGTCGGAGATCGCAACTGCCGGACCAAATAAGAACCGCCTGAGATATTTATCATTTTCAAACTCCGGCTAGACAGTGCAAATTCTCAAAATTCTCAGCTTTGTTCACCAGAACTTATGGAGTAGCCAGAGAACATTTGGACCAGAGATATTTATCATTTACTACCAGCCTCCGGAATCAGTCGTGTTCGTATGCTTCGGGGACCTGGTGAGCCTACCGGAAAATCAAGTGAGAGAGATCGCCGGCGGACTCGAAAGTAACTGGTGTCGCTTCCTCTGGTCCCTCCGGCGGCCACTGCAACACAATAGCAATAACAACAAGACTCAGCTTCCGGGAGCCATCGGCGGATAGTGATAGTGGTGGGTTGGGTGCCGCAGCTGGAACAACAACACGATAGCGACATCCTACCGGACGAATTTCTCCACCGGACATTGGGACACAGGGAAGGTGGCGGGGTGGGTGCTGCAGCTGGAAATACTGTCACACAGAGCGATCACGCGGCTTCGTATCACACTGCGGATAGAACGGAGTGCCGATCACAACTTGGCTGGTGCACTCAGAGCAACAGGTGAACGCTTTCCCGTTGGTGAGAGAGTTGGGGATGGCTGTGGAAAAAAAGGGCAAAATTCACACAGAGCCATCGGCGGCTTCGTATCACACTCCCAGGTTTTGCTTTTCCGCAGGCGCAGCAAGGAAGAAGAAGAAATGGCCATTTTCCCCCCAGTTATAAATAATTTAAAATGGGTTACGTTTTTTCGGCGAAATTTGGTTGGTGATTTGGCCAGGATGACCTAATGTGTTAAAAATTGCATAGTTACGAGACTAAATTGTTAGTTTTTAAAGTCAAGTACTGAAATTAACAAGACTCATATAGTTATAAAACCAAAAGTGTAATTTTCTCTAAAATCAATTACCTCTATTATTTCCTCATTTCGAACAATAGAATCAAAATTGAGGAAGAAAATTAAAAAAAAAAAGTCATTGTTCATGCATTAAATATAGAGATGACAACGGGGCAGAGAGTGAGGATTAAGTCCACATTACCTGTCCTCGTCCCGTTTTTCGATGGGGATTAAGTCTACATTCCCCGTCCTCGCCCCGTTCCCCAATAGGATTTGGAATTACTCTCATCCCCGTCCCCACAAGGAATTTTCGGGGATAGGAATTTCCTGTCCACGACTTTTGAGATTCTATCACTTTTGGTGCACAACATTAAAATTTTTCAATTTTGGTGCTTAACTTTGTTATTTTTATTAGTTTTTGTCATTTTGACCAAATTGATGGCAAAATGTTGCCAAATCTTATATTTTTAGGCGTAAAATCGTCATCCCAAGAAAACATCTTCAATATCTAAACAAAGTCATTGTAAAATCATATCTATAGGTGTTTGATTGATGAGAATAATGGGGGAGACGGGCAGAAACTAGATACACATTTATGAGATTTATAATATCGACAATTGACAAACTTTTCTTTTTCTCTTAATATGATTTTTCTTTTGTTTAGATATTGAAGATCTATCATTATGATGACGATTTTGCCTCTAAAATATAAAATCCGACAACATTTCATTGTCAATATGGTCGGAAGGATTAAAACTGATAAAAATAACAATGTTAGACATCAAAATTAGAAAGATTTAAAATTGTGTACCAAAAATGATAAAGTTTAAAAAATATTGAGACCAAAAGTGAAATTAATTCTTATTAGAAATACATCAAGTCTTCAATGATACGACTTATTGAATGATGGATTAGACTATGGTATAATTTGAAGCTTACTTTGGATACGATACGGCAGTATTCTTCTCCTGAATGGAAACTTGAGTTTAGCATAACATAAACTCAGCATAGCTTTACAAGTCATGGCCGGAGGTAACCCTCAAAACCCTCCTTCTTCCTCCACCGCCACTTCCCGCCGCAAGTCCCGTCGCAAATCCTCCGCAAAGAATCGCCGGTTTCCCAATTCCAGACCCTCACAATTCGGGTCACGTTCTGGAGAAAATAATAAACCCAGGCCCTCTACAAAACCCGGCAAACACACTGGAGCCCCAACCACCCCTCCAACCCATATGCTTAGACCCGTTAACTCGTCCCCTAGACCCGACGAGGCCACGCATTCTGCGCTGCCCTCGCTCCGTTTCCTTGACCCGCCTCCGCCTCCGCCTCCTGCGAATGGGAATGGGAATGTCGTCCACTTACTCGAACGCAGGACGCTTGTGCTCGCGGATGGTTCTGTGAGGACTTACTTCTCATTGCCCCCGGATTATCATGATTTTTCACCGTTGCCACCGAGGGAATTTCGTGGTCCGGGGTTAGGGTTTGATAGAAATTTCCCGGTGAGTCCAGATTTATGCCCCGAGTTCCGGGATGATCCGTTTTTACATACCAGGAATCATGATTATCAGGGCTCATTAGGCCTAGAAGAGCAGGGGGTTGGACCTGTTACGGGTACTGGGCATGAAAATTCAATGAAAAGGAAGTTTTGGGATGAAGAAACAGAAGCAAATGATTATATTGATAGGAAAAGGCAGCAGCTTCTGCAGCTGGGAAATTTAGGTGACAATTCACAAGGAATGAATGAGTTGGATACAGGTACAGGTAGAGGATCAGAGGAAACGAAAATTGCTGAGGTGAATACACATCGCCTCAAGCACCATGAGGTTGATCAAAAAGCCTTAAAGAAGGCATTTTTGCGTTTTGTGAAGTCAGTGTATGAAATTCCAAAGCAGAAAAATCGCTATCTGGCCAATGGAAAGCAGGGTCATCTTCAATGTGAAGTTTGTGGCAGGTCTGGAATAAATTATGGCCACTCTATTATTTTGATAACAGTTATTTGTTTGATACAATTACTTCATTTGTTTCTTGAGGCATTATTGGCTTAGTGTTGATTTTGTATAAATTTAGCACAAGTGCAAATTGCATTCTGAGGGTGCTTAGTTATGGCTCATTTTGGTGGCGTGATGCAGAAGGTTGAGTGGCAGTTATAACTTGGTCTTTTCAAATTATGACTGCTTTTTTGTGTGCTTTTAGTTCAGGCTACCATCTTGCTCTCTGAATAGCTGTATATCTGCTTTTATATGTAAAAAACATTGATTTCCGGCATGTTGTGATATTGAAGAGGTTGAGCAAATGGATATTATATAATGTTTAACTATCATATTTCATCATGTAGCAGTAATCTAGGTGACCTCTGAAAGCAATATGAAATCAGGAGAAAGAGCTAAAGAGATAATTCAGGATTGACTACAAGAATAGGGTTAGAAAACAAACAATGGGTTAGATCAGGAGTAGTTTTTTTTGGTTTGAAGAATACACTGTTATAATTGATGATGAGTTCTGTATTTTTTGTGCACTGGTTGGGGAACCTTTTGTGTAGATTTGGGACTTGGGAGGCTTGGTTGGGTTTGTCATTATTTATTTTTATTATTTGAAAATGTTTTCATACCTAGGTTGCACCCAAGTCATCGCGATGTGATTGAAGGCTCATCACTCCACTCCAGTGAAGTGCAGGATTATACATAAGTGATCACTTATGATGCTCTTTTCCCTAATAGATTAGGCAATAGGTATTTTTGAAACAAATACTTAAGGATTCAATCATGCACAGGAAATACGTAATGTATTTTTATTTTTAAAATCTTTCCTCTATACCAAAGCCATAAACTGATTAGGCAGTTCTTTGTTTGTGTAGAAACATGTACTCCCGTAATAGATTAGTTACTATAGCTATCTGAAATGTGTAAAGTAGTTATTCAAAATAAGTATGGGGTAAGTGGACTCAAAGTTGTTAAAAGCACTTGCTTCTGCACAAAGTCTAGAAGCGAGGCAAGCGATGTGAAGTCGCTTCGATGGAGTGACGAAGTGACAAGGTGCAGCAAAGCAAGGCTTTCTCACGAGAAGCGCAGTCAACAGTCAGTCAACCCTTAGGAAAAACAAATATAAAGGATATGAAATTAGGGTTTGAGTTGCGAGTTGTGACCTTCTCCAACTTTCCGAAAGGGGTGACTCGACAGCTTATCACTGTCAAACCCAAACACGACTACCTCGCACCCTTGCCTCCAACCGAACTTCGATCTCTGAAACTCTTTGACCTCACTAGTAGCCATTGCCGTGCCACTCTTCAATCTTTGACCTTGGCTCATGCGAGCTCTTGGATATCTCGCAAGTATTTCTCTTTTTCCCTTTTTCGACCAGATTCTAGCGCATCTTGTGTACACTTCAATGGTTCAACAAGTTTTTTTTTTTTTTTTTTTTTTTCCCCTCACTCTTAATAGTGGATTCCTCTACTTTGTATTTTATAAAGACGGAAGTTTTTTTCCCTACTTT